TTCCTGAAGAGCCTCAAAACTCGTCTCAGCTCACTTGAAATTCCAAAAACACTATACGGGGAAAGCCGCAGCGGCCAGGGGACTCACTACTCGTTGGGGCACACGAGGGGGTGCCAGCGGTTGCAGGAATCAGCTCATTTGGGATTCCAGAGGCAAAAGTTATGGAGAACTACACGACACGATTGCGACACAACACAGCAAGCAGGCAGTCACTCCTCGTTGGGGCGCACGAGTGGGTGCCAGCGATTGCACGTGTTGGGCACCGACACAATGGCAAACTCGTCTCAGCTCATTTGGGATTCCAGAGGCACAATTTACGAAGGGGTGGAGGGGGGGGGGGGGGAGGGGGGAGACGACACGACACGACACAGTAGGCGACACAGCACATCAGGCAGGGACTCACTCCTCGTTGGGGCGCACGAGTGGGTGCCAGCGGTTGCACGTGTTGGGCACGGACACAATGGCAAACTCGTGGTCGTCGTCCACTGGGTCCCTCAGCGCCTGCACGACACAATTTGGATGGGGACGAGGAGGGGTGAGGGGAGGAGGAGGGGTGAGGGGAGGAGGAGGGGTGAGGGGAGGAGGAAGGTTGAAGCTGGCCTAGAAGTGTGGTACAGCAGAAGGGGGCACGGACACAATGGCAAACTCGTGGTCGTCGTCAACTGGATCCCTCAGTGCCTGGACAGCACAGTTTGAATAAGGAGAGAGATGAACAGAGAAGCGGGGTTTGAGCGGAGCGGAGGGGGATGAGTGGAGGAGAGCGAGTTGAGGCGAGGGGATGGGGTTGAGCGGAGGGGAGGGGGTTTGAGTGGAGGGGATGGGCACAGGGGATAAGAACTTCGACAGGCGGGGAAGGTTCGGACGGGTTGGAAGGCGTACCACAGCAATGCCTAGTGACATGTTGCCAGTGAAAGGGGAGGAGCAGGGTCGCGGGCCGGCAGCACTTTTAGTGCAACTTTTGATTCTACTTTAGGTGGCAGGGAGGGGAGTCGTACCACAGCAATGCCGAGGGACATGTTGCCAATGAAGGGGAAGGGATGGCCGGGATCCACTGCCAGTGGTGTGATGATGGGTTCCAGCCACGCCCTGTAGTATGCCCGCAGCTGATGGGACGACATGGGAGGGAAAGAGAGGAACACAGGGGAGAGCAGTGAGACGGCAGCGGCGTGATGATGGCCTCCAGCCACGCCCTGTAGTACGCCCGCAGCTGAGGGGACGAACGAGAAGCGACAGAGGAGAAATAGAGGGACATAGAGGGCAACGGGAGATGGCTGGGGTGATGATGGGCTCCAGCAACGCAGCAGATGACAGGCACACAGGAGGAGGGAGACAGGCAAAGCGAAGTGGCAGGGCGGGCGAGCGAGTCGAGCTTGTCCCAGTGCAGTGCACGATGCTGATGCCGTGCTTGCGCAGCGACGGCAGCAGGTCGAAGAGGGGGGAGGGGGCGCGGACAGGAGCCAGGAGAGTAAGAGATAGATGGATTAGGATTCTAACTCGCCTGCCCGACTCACCTTTTCCTTGGCGGGCGACTCGAGCTCGTCCCAGTGCACGATGCTGATGCCGTGCTTGCGCAGCGACGGCAGCAGGTCCTGCTGCAGGCACTGCAGCTGCATCTGCACAAACTGCTCCACCTCCCTGCGTCCCGCCAAGCATGCCATCGCACGCGCCACACCAACCAGCACAACACGCATACCACACCAAGCGACATAACACAATCGCAGCACGTGACAAGCACAAGAAAGATCAGCGCAAGTTGACAAGACACCGCCTAGCTTTGGATGGATATATAATGGATTTTGCGAGATACCTGGATGAATCCTGGAAGCGCAACCGTCAGGTTAACAGAAACTGCAGCTTCGCTTCTTAGTGGCAGCCGTTTGAACGTCACTTCCGAGTGCTAGTTATTAACGAAAAATAAGACAGACTTTCCTTTGGAAAGGTTTTGGCGTGCTTAAATTCGCGACTTCAAAATTTATGAATACTGAGCGATTATCTGACGTATGGAAGATTCGAGGGACAGCGTGCGAGGTGGTTTAGACTCGATGCAAGATTTTAACCCTTCCGCCATCCACGGACTCAAAACGCGCAACGTTACAATCGTGAATGTTTGGCGCATTCGTGGGCGCTGAAGGTATCGAACCTATAGTTCCGCACTGCATTTATCCACTGGAAGCGATTGGCTCGCTTCTCACCTGGCGACGATTTTCAGCGATTGGCTGGGCGTCCAGAGCCAGCTGCTGCGGTGGCCGATGAGGTTCGCCATGCCCACCGCTTGCTGCCGCTTCAGCGCGCCCACGCGCTTGCAGAAGAACTCGTCCAGATTGCGCGCCGTGATGGCCAAGAAGCGAAGGCGCTGGAGCAGGATGCGATTGAGAAGGCAACGAAATACAGATAAGATACGTTAAAATAAGATAGCGGTCGTTCCGTTTGAGCGCCGCGATGGTGAGGGGAAAACCAGGAGCGGACGAGAAACAACCGGGTGGGGATGGGGGAAACAGCCAGGGAGGCAGACCGAATGCTGTCCGGGTGCCCTACGACGTCGAGGAAAAAATACGAAAGAGTATTTTTTACCTCCATGAGGGGCGTGCGCTTGTCCAGCGCCTGGTAGAGCACGCGCCAGTTGAACGCCAACCAGCTGCGAGACAGCGGGCGCGACGCAGGGAGAAGGGACGAGGGTCAAAAGGACAAAAGCGACACGAGGGACACACACAATGAGACGCAAAGAAAAGCGAACAGGCTTATGCCGGAGACCGACTATCGGAATCTTGTCAAAATAATGACGACGGAAGAGAGCGCACAGCGAGACATTGCTTATTCGTCACGAAGCCTACTGGCAGCGAGCGCGCACCTTAGCTCTTTGTTGTACACCGCATCAGCAGATACCAGCGCGTCAACACTCAGCCCTGAGACGTCCTTCATCAGGCCCTCCTGCTCCCACGGCGGCATAAGGCCCTCCGCCAAGCTCTCCAAGGCTTTCATTCGGTGCTCCCAGCTCCCCACGCCGGCATCCTCCATCTCCGTCAACTCCGTCACCGTTGAGCTTCCGTCGTCCACTTCCTCCACATCCGACATGTACTCGACTGCCACATGGTCCTCTGCCTTGACTGACGTTGACAGAGCTCCGTTCACGAGATCGTCAGCCTTGATCTTATCCGAGTCCGACGAATCCGCCAGATCAGCTTCGAAGGATTCCTCGACGAAAGCGACAGACGGGTCGGGGACGGCTGTCGTGCCGATTTGCGGATCCCACGGTCCGAACTCGCACGCTGGGGGGTTGGAGCTGTTCGGACCGACGCCATTCGCCCGGATGCTCTGTGCACGGCCGCGGTGGGACGAATCTGAGGCTCCGGAGAACCGGTTCGTGAAAGCGGAGGAAGAAACAACGACGGGAACTTTCGGTGTGAGGCGGAGTGGTTGCGTGGAGTTAGAGGAGAATAGTCTGGAGGTGCCGCACGACTGTGTCAGGCTTAGCGACGAGACGCCTGACGCCGTGGGACAAGAGTGAAGAGCCTCCATAGGAAGAAGAAATGGTCAGATCTAGACAACGGATTTGTGAAAGCGCTTGTTCGACGACGCGGCGAGAGACTAGATGCAGCAAGTTTTTCGATACGAAACGATAAGAGTTGGATTGAAAGCAGAAAGTTTCAGACTTGTGCTTGCGTGCTTGGCCGAACAAGTCTGTTCTGAGAATCCGAGGTTGGTGAGTGGCGGCTGGCTTGGCTTCTGGCGGCAAATGCCAGATGCAAAAAGTGACAAGGAGAGATGCAGAGGAAGCAAGCTGGCTGGGTTGGGGAGGTCCCAGATTTCACCAAGGCTCCTACGCTAGCTGAGTGGAGAGGCCTAGAAGTTGGGCTGGACAGACTTCCGCTGCTAGCGCGGAAATTCGGTGGCTAGAAATGAGTTGAGAAATGAGGCTGCAGGGAGGCTCGAGGAGGGCTTTTACACATTCAGAGGGACAACCTTTGAGAAAAATGCGAAGCGCGACAGAAACTGAGCCAGGTTCGTCTCTGTTACCGAACCACTTGTGACTTTAGGAAGTGCTTCGGCGCCCTCGATATCTCCTGCTTTTGGCCACTTTTGCCGAGTCAAACCCAGCCAGTGCCACCTGGCTTGCCTGCCAGCGCATCAGAGGAGAAATCAGGCCGCCGCCAATCTGGAAAGGGAGACTCGCGGCGCGTTTTTGCGAAGGCCTATTCGCCGTGTAAACGCCTTGAAATGTGGCAGATCTGCGTGTCGGTCCGTCACCCACATGCCTGAAACCCTCAACCCGCTCCCAAGGGTGGGACCTGATTGGGGCATCTGACGACAGGTCATCACTGGTCACATGCGCCGTTTGTTCTTGCTGAAACCAGACCAAAAATCTTCTCGAGCCAACACAGGCTCGGATTAGACGACGGTATATCTCCGTCACAGTACAATTTGGGGTGACGCTTGTCGTCCAACCAGAAGACAGTATCGATTACCGTATCGAAACAACTAGCACCGTTCTCTTTTCAGCATTCAGATTGGACCACGTTCTTTCGCTGTTTGTGGCCGTCAATGAGAATTCAGTCATGTGGTTCATCTAGGTTGGTTATACGAAAAACAGGGTTGGGTACGGTTCGTATGGCAAAGCCTGACAAACCACGTCATGTAAACTTAGCTTTCTGATCAAATAGGTGCTGTGAACAGCTGGAAGCCGCTTTTTGGTGGCCGTTGGTTGCTTTTCGCTGTTGCGCGTCTCGCCATGATCCCTCTTTGTAGCACTCCCCAGAAACCGAGTGCCTGCAGCACACTTCATCTATCATCTGAATGCTCTGAGTTCACAAGAGCAGCAGGAGGCGCTATCAGCAGCAACTCTACATTATCTCAGAGAAATCTTAATGTGACGAGTCGATCCAGAATCTCCCGCGTGGGGGCCATTGTTCCGGTTGGAAATTTGCATAAGGGGAAGAGCGGCGTCACGAGGAGTGGTTCAGTGGTAGCGGCCAGCGGGGATCGGACTGGATTTAACTCTCAGCATGGTCAGATTAAGGAGTTTCGAGGAAGATGCTGTGCAAAACCAGCGAAAGGAGTGAGTCCCGCAGATTATGCCACGTAATTTTAGAAGCCGCCGTTATGTAGCTCCAGGACATCGCTTTCCCTTTCTCTCATTTGTTTGCGCGTAAACCCCCGAATTCTTCAAACCCTTTTCGTGCCATTTGTTATGCACAACGTTGTTTGATCATATTCAGTCGCGTATCTGCCTTTTCGCTTCCCCAGCGGGTCTCCTGTTCCTCCTTCACCCTTGCCAATTTCAATTCACACATCAGGTTTCCAGGCAAATTGGTTGGACGAAGTATCGCCACGTGGACCACAAGGAATGGAATGCTGATGATGCGTATGACACGGAGGCACTTGACGTGGAGGGGGAGGCGAGGGAAGGCCCTGGGGTTGGCGAAGAGCGAGTGCTGCAGCGTCTGGTGGAGAGGTGAGGCGTCGCCAGGGGTGAGAATGCCAGGAGTGAGGGTGTCAAGAATGAGGGAGGAGGGGATTTTTCGTGTCACTATTACTTTCCAATTTCTCTCCCCCGTTCCCCGCTTCTCGTCCACCATCCTCCTTCCCTCCCTGTCCCTTTCCTCCCCAAACCCACTAACCCCCAACCCCCTATGCCAGGCTGGAAAGCACTCCCCTGACCGCCTCCCCGCGCCACGTGTCCAGGGCAGTGCGCAGCGCGGGGGTGCGCCTCTCCCCCCGCCGTGTGGCGCTGGCAGCGCGGCTGCTCGCCAGCAGAGGCAGCTGGCGCAGGGCGCTGCTGCTCGTGCACTGGGCCGCTCGCCGCGACCAATCACGCGTTGACAGGTCAGACTAATGCCGGAGATATCAGTCAAGCTGACAGGTCCCCTCAGGTTCGGCTTCCCTGGCCATGCCTTCCCGGCCGTGCCTTTGTTGCTCGTTTCTGTTCAACTGCTCCCCGCACCTGCTTCTCGTTCATTCTCGGATTCTTGTCTCTTGAATCTTCTGGATCACCTACCCCTTCTCCTGTCTCCTTCCCCCCTACGTCCCCCCCTGCTGCAGGAAGGTGCTGACGTCGCTCATCGCTGCACTGGGCTGGCGCTACCCCGATGCAGTGCTGCAAGCCATGCGACTCATGATGGTACGTGTTGTGCGGTGATGTGCGGTGGGGTGCGGTGCTGCTGCTGTAAGCCATACGACATTAAGGCGCCTGCTGTGCAGTGCTGTGTGGTGCAGTGCAGTTCTGTGCTGTGTTGCAACTTGCAATCCGTGTACCTAATGATGATGCGTGCCTGCATGCTTGTTGATTCTCATGTTCCCCACTCCTTCTCCGTCCTACAACCCCTTCTCAAACCCCCTACTCTCCTAACCTCTGATCTCCCTTGTCATCCACCGCCTCCTCTCCCTCTCTGCTCTCCACCAGTCGCAACCCTTCACGTGGCCTGACCTCCCAGCCTACAGAGCAGCAGCAGTGGCGCTAGGAAGGGCGGGGTATTTGCAGGAGCTGCTGCAGGTGGGCGGAGAGAGGATGGGCATGGGGAATGTTGATTCCAGTCTCGTACACCTGAAATCTTAAACCCTTCAGCTATGTTCAGTTCAGTTCAGTTCAGTGCAGTTGTCTCTGCTTTCAGCCGTCAATTCTCATTGTTCCTTTCCTGTTGAGAGGAGGCTCTTCAGTTCACAGTAGTTTCGTCTCTCCGCTGTTCCAAGCTCAGACGAACTAAAGACTTACTCTGACCCATGTCTGCTGGCCCCTCTCTCCCCTTCTCGCCCCCATGCGAGGAGCAGAGCAGCTGATGCAGGATCTCAGGGAGGGCCCCACCCGCACCAACCGCACTGCACCACTTGAAACAGATGGCAGAGGCGCTGGCACTGGCGCTGGCGCTGGTGCTGCCAGTGAGGCTAGCAGCACAAGCAGCAGCGGCTCCAAGTCGGGTGCAGCAGGGAGCAGCTGGCTGGCGCCAGACGTGGTGGTGTACAACGCTGTGAGTGCTGCTGCCCCTCGTGAACCCCATCCACCGCCCCTGGTAGGTACCGCCTTACCACCCACTCCCCCCTAAGTCGGGTGCAGCAGGCTGCTGCTGGCTGGCGCCAGACGTGGTGGTGTACAACGCTGTGAGTGCTGCTGCTGTGCTGCCCCTCATAAACCTCATCTACCGCCCCTAGTAGGTACCCCCTACCCTCAAGCACCCACTCCCTTCAGTTCGGGTGCAGGGGGCAGCAGCTGGCTGGCTCCAGATGTGGTGGTGTGGTGTACAACGCTGTGAGTGTTGCACCCGCTCCTCCCTAAGCTGGATATCTGAAAGCAGTACTAAGGCAGCAATTTTGATCTTGTTTTTGCCACACAACTCGGCGTAAATCCACTAGAGAGAGCTCAAAGTCTGTGCGTCCTCCTCAGCCCTTTCCCATCCCCTCTCCTCTCTCCGCCACACTCTCCCCATGCCCGCAGGTCCTGAATGCGTGTGGAGCGAAGAGGCAGTGGAAGGGCGTGCAGTGGGTGCTGCAGCAGATGCGCTGCGCAGTGAGGGGGTACCTCCCGACGCAGCCACCTCTCGCTCCTGAGGAAGTCACCTTTAGGCTGGCCATCCAAGCCCTGTCGCTGTGCACTTTCCACACTCCCCTCCGCTCTCCCCATGCCTGCAGGTCCTGAATGCGTGTGGCGCCAAGCGGCAGTGGAAGGGCGTGCAGTGGGTGCTGCAGCAGATGCGCGGCGAGGGGGTAGCTCCTGATGCAGCCACGTTTGGGCTGGCCATCCAAGCCCTGTCGCTGTGCAATCAGACGCACCTGGCACTGCAGCTGCTCGCTGATATGGAGGCTGCTGGCTTCCCTCCCACCGTCCAAACCTACCGAGGTAATTGTCAGACTTACCACCCAGACTTTGGTGGCGAGTCGAAGCATAACTTGGGTGCTGGCAGCAGCAGTGATGAAGATGCGTTGAAGGTCCCCCTCAGACCCGGTGACGAGGACAACTGAGAATGAGAACATCTCCTTTTGAGTCGACTCAAAAGTCACCTCTTCTCAGTCGACTCAAAAGTCACCTCTTTTGAGTCGACTCAAAAGTCAGCAGCAGCAGCAGTGATGAAGAAGCGTTGAAAGTCCCCCTCAGACCCGGTGACGGGGACAACTGAGAATGAGAACATCTCCGTTCTGCGCCTCTCTTCCCCGTCACTCCCTTGACAGACCTGGTGCGAGTGCTGGCGGCCGCAGGGAGGGTGGAGGAGGCAGAAGCAGCAGTGAGGGAGATGCTGCATTGGTTGTACTTCTCACTCCCTGCTCTCTCTCCTCCCATTCCCCTCCCTCTGCTTCCACTTGACCCTCTCTTCAGACCTGGTGCGGGCACTGACAGCAGCGGGGCGGGTGGAGGAGGCAGAGGCGGCAGTGAGGGAGATGCAGGAGCGAGGGATGGAGGGCAACGCAGGGGTGTTCCACGCCCTCGCCTGTGCTCTCTGCTCCGCTGGGCGGTGGCAGGATGCTGTTGCTCTGGTGAGTTTGAAACCTTTCCAGCTCATTCGTGACGCTGTGTTTCGCTACATCCACCAATTACAGTAGCTGGCTAATCTGGGTTTTATGGCTATTCCGTATGATATGGGCAGGTGGAAAAGATTTCTCGGGCAGAGGATGCGCAGCCGGCAGTGGTGACGTGGACAGGCCTGATTCGTGCATGCGAGCGAAGCAACCGATTGGCCGACGCGGCCCAGGTGTTTCTCAAGATGCAGAAGCAGGGGTGCACACCCAACATCACCACGTGCAACATCATGATCACCGTTTTTGCCCGCACGGGCAGGTTTGCTGCTGTGGAGGAAATTTACGCCGCTGCCCGGTCGGGCGGCAAGCCTATAATCACGGGCAGGAAGAGGTGGATGAGCAAAGAGGAGAGGCAGGAGGCTAGGATGCAGCGGTTGGTGGCTAATAACAGGAGCAGGAGAAGGCTGATACGAGCAGGGAAATTGGAGAGAGGAGGAAAGGTGGGCGAGGGAGCATATGCGGTTGGGGTTGGGGAAGCAGGGGAAGAGGAAAGAGAGGGGAGAACACGAGAGGAGGAAGAAGAGGAAGAGGAGGTGGAGGAGGAGGGCGAAGTGGAGGCCGTTGGGGAGGCGATGACAAGCGTTGGGGAGATCAGCAAGGGTGGAGAGAATGAGGAGCAAAGCAGAGAGGAGAGCGGGGAAGACGAGAGGGACGAGGGCAACGAGGTTGAGAAGGTGTGGTTCGGGAGGAGGCGGGAGGACCCTCCACTGGTGCCCAATGGCCACACGTTCGCAGCCATGCTGGGAGCGTGCGTGCGGTGCCGGCAGTGGCAGGCCGTGAGGCAGGTAGCAAGAGATATGCAGCGGGCGGGGTGGCCCCTGCAGGTGCGGCAGCACGGGTGGGTGGTGGACGCGCTTCTCAAGGGCAAACAGACAGTCATTGCTGACGAGCTGCTGCTTGCCATGCGCGGGGGGTCGCAGTCACATGTGGACCCACACCTCGATAGGGTGACAGCTGAGGGGGCTTCTGGGCTTGCTAACAACCAGCAGGACCCCGGTTGTGCAAAGAGCGAGGATTCAGGAGGTGTGGGCAGGGAGGGGAGTCAACGCATGGTTGAGAGTGTGGGTGGGGATGAGAGTCCTTCTGGGACAGGTGAGAGCATGAGAGAGGAGGAGCAGAGGAGGGCAGCGGCACAGCAGCAGCTTGAGTTGCTGTCGGCACTAACTGGTGCAAGCAGCAGAGGAGACGGGACGAGCAGACAGGGGATTTCAGACGACAGCGGTGAAGACAGCAGCCGCAGGAGAAGCAGCAGTGCTGACATTCCCAGCAGCACCAGCACCATTGACAACACGAGCACCAGCACAGACAGCAGCAGCAGCAGCACGACTGACAAGGACAGCAGCAGTGGCGAGCTGAGCCCTGTGTTGCTGAGGGTGCGCGAGCTGCTAGAGTCCCATGCGCCACTGGATGGCTTTGCGTGGCGCTATGCAGTGGCATCGGTGAGCGGCGGTCTGACGGGGGCAGGGGTGGAGGAGACTGTGGGAGTGATGGACGCCTGGGGGAGGGCTGTGGAGGGGAGAGGTTTGGAGGGGATGGGTTTGGAAGGCGGGATGGTAAACGGGGAGGTGGTAAGTGGAGGAGGCAGATCTGGGATTGCCGCAGGTGCTGATTCAGCAGTTGTGGAGTCAGGGTTTGCTGAGTCATCAGGCGTTGAATCAGCCAGGTTACAGGGAGAGCCAACAGAGAGGGATTCTGTTGGTGCTGCTGCTGCTGTTGCAAGTGGTGTTGCTAATGCTGCTGGTGCTAGTGGTGACGCTGGTGCTGCTGGCGGTGCTGCATCTCCTGCTTCCCTTGAAGCCTACCCTGCATCCTCTCCTGCGGTGGACCCTGGTGTGCTGGCCGACCTTGTAAGGGGGCTGCTTATAGGGGGGAAGACGGAGGAGGTTCGAGTGGCGTTGCGATTGGTTGACCGGATGGAGAAGGAAGGGTGGGTGGCAGACGCCGGCATATACACCAGCCTGCTGCACCGGACCGTCAGGCTGGGGATGGGAGCTGAGGCTCGGGAGGTGCTGGCTCGGGCCGAGGCAGCAGGTGTGAAGGTTGAGTACGATGAGCTGGAATTGAGTGACTCTGTAGGGGGTACGGCTAGGGAGGGGGGAGAGAGAGTGGGAAGAGGATGGCAAAGAGGGGAGGGAGATCGGGTGGACGAGCCATCTGCTTGGGACATTTTGAAAGTATGGAGGAAGGAGCTGGAATGAGAAACAACAATAACGCATTTCCTGGATAAGCAATAACCCTGGCTGAAATTTTAGCTTTATAGGATGCTCACCGGCTGGTTGGGGAAACAATATCATAGTATTTCAATTGTTACAAGTTACTTCCGAGTTACTAAGATCAGTAAATGTTACCGTCTGACTTTCGCGAAGCGTTTTTCCGTCGCCTTGCATCCCTGCCACTCGCCTGACGGGCTTCAGGCTTTAGTTTCTGAAGCTCACTAATGTCAGTCTTACATCTCTTGCTCGCCTCGCGCTCCGCTGCAGCTCCACCGACCTCGAAACGCGTCACACGCGGACGGCTCACAGACAGACGGCCACGTAGCGGTTTTGACGGCCACGTAGCGGTTTTGACGGCCACGTAGCGGCTTTGACGGCCACGTAGCGGTTTTCTTCGTCTTTCCGTCAAGCATTGAGACGTCTCAAAGCGACCATCACAGAGGACAGTTATGTAGCGAATTAGGAGGGTTCCTCCTCGCTTTCCGTCGAGTAGGTTAGCTTGGGTCGACGTCTATTAGAAGGTAAAATAGAGCGACAACATTGTTTCGGTATCTTACTGTTTCGGCGTGACGTTGATTGCGGCTTTCCGTCGAAGCCATGGCTGCCTCAGAATTCGAGATTTGTGATAACTGGTAAAGTCTAGTCCCTCGTTTTCTCCGGGTGCGTCGCGCACACTCGGCATTTTAATCCGTGTCGTAGAGTGTAATCTAGTTCCATGAGGTCTCATAGAATGAGTTTTTTCAACTGTGTCATTCCTGATCGTCCCTGCGTGTCGTCCACGTATGTTTTTTAGGCGCCTCAAAAACTGTTTCATGAGGTCTCATAATGGACTGTTCAACCATGTATTCCTGCTCGTCCCTACGTGTCGTCCATGTCGCCAACCCCATTCCCGTCCCTTCCCATCCCGTCGCTTCCATTCCGTTCCTCAGCGCTCGTCCCATCCCCGTCGCCAACCTACCGCTGCACGCGGCGCACTGCGAGACGCGCCTCGTGCGCTGTGACGGGTGCGATGAGATGGTGGCCTCTGCCGCCATGGACCAACATATTGCAGCCGTGCACGCCCCTGTGAGTGCTGCTGGCACTATGCGGGTGGGTTGTGACACTTTGTGTGCGGTGCAATGGGGTGTGACGAGATGGTGGCCGTTGCCGCCATGGATCAACACATATCAGCCGTGCACGCCCCTGTAAGTGCTGGCAGCACCGGTCCAGTGAGTAGCGGCACGGCACTTTGTGCTTGAGTAGACGGGTGCGATGAGATGGTGGCCACTGCCGCCATGGACCAACACGTGGCAGCTGTGCACGCCCCGGTGAGCACCGGCACGGGTGGGTTGTGACACATTGTGTGCGGTGCAATGGGGTGCAACGAGATGGTGGCCACTGCCGCCAGGACCAACACATATTATATTAGCCGTGCACGCTCCTGTAAGTACGGGCAGAACCGCTCAGGTTGGTAGCGGCCCCTTTGTGCTTGACGAGATGGTGGCCAGGCCACTGCCGCCATGGACCAACACATATTATCCGTGCACGCTCCTGTAAGTACGGGCATGTTGGGTTCAAGTTGACAGTTGCAATGAGATGGTGGTCACTGCACCCATGCACATGCACCCATGCACGCACCCATCGTTAACTTGACCCATCATCCCCATTCCTCCACCTTCCCCACCACCTCTTCCTCAGGCGCCCTGCGCCCTGTGTGGAGAGCCCATTGAGCGACAGCTTCTACCAGAGCACGAGGCATCAGCTGGCCTTGTCAAAAGGGCCTGTCAGTTCTCTCTCATTTTCCCTCTTCCCTGTACTCCCCCCCCCCCCTCACCCTTCCTCTTCCTCAGGCGCCCTGCTCCCTGTGTGGAGAGCCCATGGAGCGGCGGCTACTGCCAGAGCACGAGTCGTCAGCATGCCCCCTGCGCTCCCTGATATGCCCCTACTGTGACCTCCCTGTCACCGCCATGGACCTCCAATCTCACGCTGTAAGGATATTCTTGTTGAGTCGACGATAGAGGCATGCTTCTTGCCTCCTGCGCCTTGCGCTCTGCCTGCCCCCTGCGCTCCCTGATATGCCCCTACTGTGACCTCCCTGTCGCCGCCATGGACCTCCAATCCCACACTGTAAGACGACGTGTGCCCATCGCTCCATGCTGCCGCTCCCAGCGCCGGCAGATCAGGTATATCTCACAGCGCTCCCATATGTTTCTATGCACATACACACTCTCCCTCTTCCCACTGTTCACGGGACGTGTGTCGGAGCCGCATGGACTGGTGTGACGTGTGGTGAAAGTACTCACCAGGCTGTTTTTTTAGTCGACTCAAAAGTCACGTTTTGAGTAGACTAAAAAGATATCACAGGATCTTTTGAGGCGCCTCAAAAACAGAATTATGCCGCCATTCCCCCATGAGGAGACTTTTGAGTCGACTCAAAAGTGGCATGTGCAGGAAGTGCACCGGTTGCCCCACTTCACAGTTACCCTTTTCACATCGCTTCCGTGTGTGTCTCCTCGTACACACTCTCGCCGCCTTCCCATCTCTCCCCTGCAGGACGTGTGTGGCAGCCATACGGACCTGTGTGACATGCGCAGCGAGTACACCGGCTTGTATCACATCAACTTACATCCATTGCATTGGACATTTTGAGACGTCTCAAAACAACACTTTTGTCACCCAGCTTGTATCATATCAACTTACATGCATTGCATTGCACATGCTCTCTCTCGCTCCCCTGCAGGACGTGTGTGGCAGCCGTACAGACCCGTGTGACATCTGCAGCAAGTACGTGCGAAAGAGAGAGCAAGCAGCCCACCAGCAGCAGCACCTCTTGCAACCATCACTCCATGCTGCCACTCCCAGAACCAGCAGAGATGCTGCCGGCACTGGTTCATCTCACCGCACTCGAGAGGCTCGCAATGTTCCGAATGGTGGTGGTGCTAGTGGTGATAGTGGTGGTGGTGGTGGTGGTGGGGGGTCTGGGGGGATCGGAAGGTACTGGCAGCTGCTTGTGCCTGTAGGGTTTGTGGTGGTGGGTGTGGCTTTGGCACTGGGTGTACGGAAGAGAAACAAACTGTAGGGAAACATTTGGTGCCAGGGTTTGTTATGTACGAATAGATATGTTTATAGCGGATGTGTCAATGTGTGTAGTCGGACAGTAATTGTTGAAGCTGGCTATTGCTGAACTATCTTTTCACAAACGAGCTCATCAGCACATACAGAAATATCATGCACCATATTCGCGTTACAATTGCCGACGTGTTCGCGAACAGAAATTGCCTCATATCGCGTATATTCCAGTTTCCATCTTCCTTCCTTGGCCATGTGGCCGCATCAACACATCACGACAATTTTCAGGTGCATCTCTCCGTGTTTTACGGCGGTGAGAACGCCTTTTAGGTTCTACTACCTGTCAGTTTCTGTACAGGAGTCAACGAGTCAAAAGAGTCAACGGCCATCCGCCATGGACACGGTTTCGCGGCAGTCGCTTTCATTGACGCAATGCGCAGCGCACATTCCGCGCCGAGCGTTGCAACCGCTGGCTGCGTTTCGCCGCGACAGCGCACTCTCGGAGTTGTCGCCTGGATTCGCGAAATCGTCGAGTGGTTTCAACTCGTCGCACAGATGTTCGCCGAGTCTGCTGCGACGAAGAGCCTCGCCCGCGTTGAACAGAGTTAGCAGGAACCGCAGGAGCACTGCCAGCAGCCAGGGGATTGTGAAACGCAGCGAAACAGCTGTTCTGGCGAGTATTCACGGTGATAATAACGGTGCCACTGACTACAGTGGAGTAGATACTACGAATGGTGGAAGCGATAATAGGAGTGGCGGCACCAGCGGAAGCAGCAAGGAAACTAACCCCTCCTCCGAACATCTCGCGGCTTCCCCGGCGGTTGGAAACACCCCGGAAGCTTCGTTTCTAAGGCCGGTCGGGGAGATGCTGCAGCGGAACAAGGCGAAGACGGTCGAGTGAGTTCGCGCCTGGTGAGAAGCTTCATGGAACCTTCACAACCTTAAGAAATAGGAAAGTTTTAAGCATCTCCTTTTTCCCCTCATCACTCTCATTTTTGCCACCTCGTGCAGCAGGTACAGTAAATTTCTTTCGTCTCTCAATCGTGTTCTTTCTCCTCTCTCTCTCCGCCAATCAACGGTCCCCAGGGTGCTCGAAAAGCTGCAGTCGTTTGGTGTGGCTGGCGTCCTCTCTTATGGCCTCTTCAATACAGTCTACTACATTTTCGCCTTCCTCTTCGTATTGTGAGTTGAACATATAGCATCCCGCATTCAAATAAGTCCCAAATCTCACGTGCGGTGTCCCTCCCTCCCCCCTATTACTCCTCAACCCCGCCACGTTCCCTCACGCCTCACCCCTCACTTTCACTCTTTCTTCTTTTGAGTCCAAACTGAAGCCGTCTATACCCCTCCCTTACCGTCCTTGTCACCATCTGCTCCCAATTATCCCTCCACCCCTTCCCCCCCCTCTCTCTCTGTATGTGTCCATGTGCGTGAATGTGCAGTCTCTACGCGGCCCCATCCCCACGAGGCTTGGGCTTCGCAGCAGCAGCAAAGAAGTGAGTGCCTTGCCTAGCAGCCTAACAACAGGCGAGGACCAGCAACAGCACAGGAAAGGGTTTGCCCAACTAAGTATTGCTCTGCGTGGCCCCATCCCCACGAGGCTTGGGCTTCGCTCGCAGCAGCGGCGAAGAAGTGAGTGCTCTGTTGTTGTCTGACCAGGTGCTTTGTGCCCGGCCTAACAGCCTAACAACAGACGAGGACCACCAACATCATAGGAAAGCGTTGTGTTAGCCTCACAAAATCATATTCCATGTGGCCCCGTCCCCTGTCCCTGCAAAGAAGTGAGTGCTCTGTTTCGAGGGCTGAAATTTATCGAGGGCTGGGAATCATCGAGGGCTGGGAATCATCGAGGGCTGGGAATCATCGAGGGCTGGGAATCATCGAGGGCTGGGAATCATCGAGGGCTGGGAATCATCGAGGGCTGGGAATCATCGAGGGCTGGGAATCATCGAGGGCGTGCAAGGGTGCAACAACATCTATGGTGGGGAGAGAGCAAGGGATTGTTTAGACGATGACCAGCAGCACTACGCGGGGTAGTGCGTGGGTGGGTGGGTTAACGTGTGAGTGGGGGTGAGGTGAAGCATGTGTGTGGGTTAACGTGTGAGTGGGGGTGAGGTGAAGCATGTGTGTGGGTTAACGTGTGAGTGGGGGTGAGGTGAAGCATGTGAGGGATTTCGATTGTCATACGCCATTTGCACCCACCATCCAGCACCTGTTCCACGCCTCTTTCCTCTCCCCTCCACCTCCCCTCTTCCCTCTCCCTTCTTCCTGCTCCCCTCTTCTCTCTCCTCTCTTCCCTCTCCTCTCGTTCCTCCCACCCTTATCTACCCTTCCTCTCCCTCCACAGTTTCCTCAAGGTATTTGCAGTGGTGTGGGCGGCCAGTCAGGTCACCAAGCTCATCCGAATAGTCTATTTGAGGCGCTTGAAAAATAGACTCCCCATGTTCCTTTCCCCTCTTTCCCCAACCCTTATCCACCCTTCCTCTCCCTCCTCAGCTTTCTCAAGGTCTTTGCGGTGGTGTGGGCGGGCAGTCAGGTCACCAAGCTTGTGCGCGCAGGCGGGTGAGAAATGAAATACTTGATAGTGCATGATGCTTGATAGTGCTTGATATTGCTTGATATTGCTTGAGAGTGCTAAGAAACAAGAAGCTGACTGGGTGACTTGCTGTGGTGTGGGCGGGCAGTCAGGTTACCAAGCTCGTGCGAGCAGGCGGGTAAGAATTTAGAATGCGAATTTATGATTTGCTGAGTAAACCTAAAATCAGGATGTTGAATTGAGTCATTAAACATGGTGTGGGTGGGCAGTTAGATTGTTTAAATCGTCCATGCGGGCAGGTGAAATTGAATTTATGTGGGCAGGTGAAATTGAATCTACTGCCAGATCCATCCATCTCTCCATCCATCCATCCCATAACGCTGATGCCAGCTCCATGCACTCTGCCCATGCATGCAAATGGCCACCGCTCTGTCCTTCATTGCTCTGCTCCCCTGCTCCAGAACAGTGTTCAGTTCACTCACTGGCGCCTCACTCCATCCCTCAACCCCACCCCTTCCCACAGGGCACTGATGCTAGCGCCCTTCATGGAAAGAGGTATAGCGGCTCTCTCCTCCCCCACGGGCCTGTTCAAGTCCCGAGGCCAGGCTGTGGCAGCCATTGTCACATTCTGCTTTGGTCTCGCTGGGGTGCTCTTTCTTGCAGTCACTGCACTCTGGGCTTGAGGGTTCACCCACCAAACACGCATGCATAGGCGGGCTATTCTACTCTGACCTAATATTGGTCCCTGGTACAGCCTGGGGTGCGTAGCTGCGTCGTTGAGCAAAAATATCAATAATGAGTCATGGATGTGTCATGACTACACTCCGTTATTTACGTTGCTATACCAGGACCTGTACATTGCCTTTCACTCAAAAGGGAAAACTACGCTTACCATGTATAGACGATTGAATGGGCTGCTCATAACAAGGATAACGCAGTTCAGCTCATTAGTTCAGTCAAACTGCTGATTGTTTGTACATGGAGGTATCGAGTACCTGCTTGCCACACATGGCACACACACCTGGGCGGGGGAGTGGGGTGGAGGGGGGGAGGGGTGCGGCAAGAGGGAGCCGACTCAGACCTGCTACCGCTACATGTAGCCGACGTAACATCAAAACATGCACCATGAATTGATATAGTGGACGGGAGGAGTCAAAGGAGCCATAATATTGCGCGAGAAATTTACATTAAGCAGATTCAATTATTGACGTAGCAATCTAGAAGCGTACCGTGATTGAGAGAAATCATACACGTACCTTTCTTACGAGAGCATAGGTCCCTCCCTCCTGGTGCAGCTGCTGCTTGCAAATAATGCACTTACGGTAACAGATGCTGATAACGAACATGGAATACAATACACCTGCTTACCCTTTTTATATGAGCATAGGTGGCAGTACTTTCCCTCCTGGTGCAGTTGCTGCTTGCAGATGATGCACTTGAAAGATGCTGATGATGCATACGGAGTGTACCTGCTCGTGCGAGGGACCCATGTTTGGGAAGGCCAGGGTGGGAAGGGGAAAGGACTGATGGGATGAGAGCAAGAGGGAGTTGAGAGGTGCATGAACCTACGGTAGAAAGGGAAAAAGGTGGTGGTAATGATTTTCACAAAAAAAAGAGGAAAAGACACATTGGTGCAGCATACCGATGAGGCAGGTGTGATTCTCTGATAATACACATAGAATTGAAATTACTATTATATGTTACTACAAAAAATATGATAATATTACCGATCGGTGTATCCCAATGTACCTTTTCTTCTTGGACAGCAGCTTGTTCTCGTTGATCTTTCTGCCGCCGCTCTCAGTGGTGTTGGACGCCCCCTCCTTCCACTTGTCCGGCACTATCACCTTTGACAGCTTCTTTGCACCTGCCAGCATGGGGAGGAAATCTTAAAACACGTCAGGATTCCTGAGAATAGCGTCTCCATTCAGCTGTCTTCCTGCCGCCACTCTCAGTGGTGTTTGAAGCTCCCTCCTTCCACTTGTCCGGCACAATCACCTTTGACAGCTTCTTCGCACCTGCCGGGCGCCAGCATGGGGAGGAATGACAGAGAGAGTTTAAAAGCCACCCCTAGGTTTCCACCTGTCTTTTGAGAATTAATCCGAAGCCACCACAATCACCTTTGACAGCTTCTTCGCACCTGCTGGGCGCCAGCATGGGGAAAAAAAGCTTGGAAATCTATCGAAGCCACTTCCAACCTTTTACTTGTCAGCCTCAACGCTCTTGCCGACTCGACGCTCCTGCCGACTCAACGCTCCTGCCGACTCGACGCTCCTGCCGACTCAACGCTCCTGCCGACTCGACGCTCCTGCCGACTCAACGCTCCTGCCGACTCAACGCTCCTGCCGACTCGACGCTCCTGCCGACTCAACGCTCCTGCCGACTCGACGCTCCTGCTGGCTTCAAAGTAAGGACGAAGAGGGGCGGAGACGGATACGCAGAGATGGTAGAGACGACGCGGAAGCTTCAGAAGATGAAGGGCCTGAAAAAGTGCGTAACTCACATTTATCGCACACCATGCTGTAATCTCTTGCTTGCTATTAGCCTTACCCGACCCCCTTCCTTGGTATAAACCTCCGCGAAAGACGTAAGCACGACGGAGAAAATACGGAAGCCTACGGTTTCGTCGACTAAATCAAATTGGCGCTACAGAAGCACTGTTGGTCGTGACGCGGCTTCGTGAACTAACGGCGAAAGTGAAGCCTACGGTTTCTTGAACACCCTACACAGTACGTCGCGGAAAAGGTGAGCGAAACCTGCCCAACGATAAGACCGTTAGAGCACAGACGAGAGTAGGACTTGACGTAACAGCCACTGTCTAAAGAGCCAGGTGAGGCTGCTAGCGTGCCTGGGATATGTATTCAAAGCAACAAACGGAGTATTGTGACAACTATTTTTACCAAGGGTCGGGCGATGACTGTGTGCCTGGGGAATCTCGACTCCGTTATAAGGTCCCGCTGGTTCAACACGCTGACACTTTGTTCATGCTCGTGATTTGTGCTGAATGTACAATCTTGCAAACAGAACTTTCCAACTCATATGGATAAACACCTTGTGAACAATGTTAGGGAAACCTAATTCAGTTTCCAGGTTGTACACTGCACAGTATGAGGTCGTCGTATATGGAGCAGGTGAAGCTGTCCCTGCAGCAGCGGCTCAAGTGCAAGGACCTTGGCGCCCTCACTCACTACCTCGGCATGACCATCACGCGCAACCGCCCTGCTCGCACAATCACCCTCTCCCAGTCCCATTACATCGGCCAGGTCTTGGAGAAGTTCGACATGGCGCAAGCCAAGCCTGTTTCCTAACTAAATTTTGAAACTTAGCTTGTTAGATTTCATCAGAGCCTCCACATTTCGGCTCGATGCCCCCTTCAGAACAACGCAACGACGACGACGACAGCCAAGGCGACGGAAGGAAACAGCTGCCATAAGCTCCGCGTACGCGCACCGCTCTTAGGTGGAGGTGGAGGCGGAAGGGAAGAAGGGGTTGGGGGAGGAGTGGACGTTAGGACCGATGAGGGAGGCGACGCGCTGGGAGCAGACGCCGAAGCGCTAGCGAACCCCGACGATTCAGCTAGTTGCCGTCCGCCTTCGCCCATCCCGGCGGCGATAGAGAGATCACCGGCGGTGAGAGAGAGCGATTCGTCGACGGAGGGAGGCAGGAGAAGCGCGTTAATGGTGTGAACCACGACCGTGCTGCTCCCCCCGGCGGCGTCTATTAGTTGCGCGGACGCGCCGGCGGCGGCGGAGGCGGAAGCGGAATCCGCGCCTTCCCCGGCGGAGGCGGAAATTCGCTCGTCACTGGCGAGGGGAGTCAAGGAGAGCGTGAGCGCGCGGTACTGCTTCACGCTGGTTCCGCCCACCTGGAACGCTAGCGCGTCCACGTGGAGCGCGATCGGCGCGCCTTGCATCGTCTCGTACGAGCCTTCCCACGCGAACGCGGACACGGGGCGCGCGACCACGTGGTACAGGAGGACGTCGCGGAGCAGCGCGGCGTTGCGCGGAAGCTTGAGAAACGCGAGGAGCGCGGGGTCCGCGCGCATGAGCGCGACGTTCGTCGGTGCGAACACGGTCAGCGCGGATCCGAATCGCGCGCGGAGTTCGAGCTCTGGCATGAGTCCCGCGTGCTTGAGCAGGCTCGAGAATCCCGTGAGTCCCGCCGACGACAGCTCTCTTTCCACCGTCGAATCTACGCCAGAAGCGAACGCGTGTGATCCGTTAGCGGATTCCGCGGATGCGAGCATCGCGGCGGGTTGTGACGAGCCGAGAAGGAGCAGGACGAGCGGGAGCATGGCGACGAATAGAGCGAAGCGCGTCATTGTGTGAATGAGGGGAGAGTTGATCGACGGTGCTGAGATCTGAAATGCGCAGGCGAGTGAGTGACTGCTGAGAGCGTTGCAGAACCACGACCGCAGATAATGTGACTGATCTGTGCTTGATTAACCACGGAGTTTTAGACTGCGGAGTGGTTTGCAGAACAAGTTGTTAGAAGTAGGATTTGTTGAAGCTGTTTAGTGGCAGCAGACGTACTAAATACTTTGCTTGCAAGACGGGTCTGGTCGGGGCTGTGCCTTGTGTCGCGTGCTGCTGGCTGCTGTGGATGCGTGACGTGCGGACCAAACCTGTGTACTCGGAGGCGCGCCACAGTCGGGGGCTGAAAGGTAAGGGTGTTGTGGCGAAGACCGGCTCACTGCGATCTTCACGTTTTTAAGCTTTCGAATGCAATCTAGAACGGTTGGGTAAAGTAATGCGCGAAAAAGCCAATTCGGTTTGCACATATCTCAAAGTTGGGTCGGTTGGTTTATGGGGCGCAGCGGATGAGTCAATGTCGGGAATGGGTACTGCACAAGCCTGTCAGGTTCGCTCAAATGCGCAAAGCTGGGAGGGCGCGACAAGTTCGGTGGTGTTGGCTTGGCGGTTGGTTCGGGGGGATAGATCTGGGAACGAGGAGGGGGAGGTAGGAAACAGGGGAAGACCTTCTACGGCACGACACGCGACTCCAGGCGCCAGGGCAGCGGGTGCAGTCAAATGGAGCGGTGAATGGTTTTGTGGAAGCTTCTGGTTTACTGTGTGCCAAACGTAGAAGAAAATCGTAGGAATTCCGTACGATAGCAGTAGAAATCTTATAAGAGGTGCAAAACAGCCCCTGTTCGCTTGTACGCGGTAAAAGAGGCGGTCATATGTCAAAACAATGCTAATAGTTTGTACCCTTTTTCGTACAAGGGTTATGGAACTGGAACTCTTGCATCACTGTTTCGGGTTCCATCGGTTTATGTCGGTCAGTTCCAGCATCCAACGAGAGAATCACTGTAGAACCTGGATCGGCGATTCATCCTTACTCGCGTGGCCTCGAATTACTCGAGTGGCCACCAAATTTGGTGATAATTACTCGAAAGGCCACGCCAGGGGATTCCCGCTGGCTTTTTTTTCCCGGCGCATTACCCTACAAGGGTTCGTCGGGCGTGGCGGTAGCGCGCGCCAGCTCCGCGGACGAGAATGCAGCGCGGGAGCAGGCGGAGAATGAGGCGGGGGTCGCGTAGAAAGAGTGCGGCTCGGATTCATCAGTGAGCAGCATGAACGTGCTCTGTACATTATATGGACGAACAGCTTGTGAACAGTGTTAGGGAAACCTAATTTAGTCAGGTTGTACACTGCACAGTATAAGGTCGTATAAGTTACGCCTATCTAAATGTCGCCGAAACCTAATTAGATTTCGCCAGAGCCTCCACATTTCGGCTCGCTGCCCCCCTCAAAACAACGCAACGACGACGACGACAGCCAAGGCGACGGAAGGAAACAGCTGCCATAAGTTCCGCGCATGCGCACCGCTCTTAGGTGGAGGCGGAGGCGGAGGGGAAGAAGGGGTCGGGGGAGGAGGGGACGGCAGGACCGGTGGGGGGGGCGACGCGCTGGGAGCAGACGCTGAAGCGCTAGCGAACCCCGACGATTCGGCGAGTTGCCGTCCGCCTTCGCCCATCCCGCCAACGATAGAGAGATCACCGGCGGTGAGAGAGAGAAGCTCGTCGACGGAGGGAGGCAGGAGAAGCGCGTTGACCGTGTGAACCACGACCGTGCTGCTCCCCGTGTCCCCGGCGCTTAGTTGCGCGGACGCGGCGGTGGAATCTGCGGCTTTACCAGAAAGGTGCTCGTCGGGGGAGAGGGGAGTCAAGGAGAGCGTGAGCGCGCGGTATTGCTTCACGCTGGTTCCGCCAACCTGAAACGCCAGCGCGTCGACGTGGAGCGCGATCGGCGCGCCCTGGAGAGTCTCGTACGAGCCTTCCCACGCGAACGCGGACACGGGCCGCGCGACCACGTGGTACAGGAGCACGTCGCGGAGCAGCTCGGCGTTGCGCGGAAGCTTCAGGAACGCGAGGAGCGCGGGGTCTGCGCGCATGAGCGCGACGTTGGTCGGCGCAAACACGGTCAGGGCGGATCCGAATCGCACGCGGAGTTCGAGCTCTGGAATGAGCCCGGCGTGCTTAACCAGGCTCGCGAATCCCGTGAGTCCCGCCGATGATAGCTCTCTTTCCAACGTCGAATCTACGCCGGAAGCGAACACATCAGATGATTGGTGCGCGGATTCCGCGGATGCGAGCATTCTGGCGGGCTGTGACGATCCGAGAAGGAGCAGGACGAGCGGGAGCATGGCGACGACTAGAGCGAAGCGCGTCATTGTGAGAATGAGGAGAGAGTTGATAGACGGTACTGAGGTCTGAAATGCGCAGGCGAGCGAGTGACTGCTGAGAGCGCTGCAGAACCACGTACGCAGATAGTGTGACTGATCTGTGCTCGGATAACCTTGGAGATCTGAACTGCGGAGTGGTTTGCAGAATGAGTTGTTAGAAGAAAGATTTGGTGAAGTTATTTAGTGGCACCAGACGTGCTAAATACTCCGCTTGTGATCGACGGGTCTGCTGGGCTGTGCCTTATGTCGCGTGCTGCTGGCTCCTGGGGGTGCGTGACATGCGGACCAAACCTGTGTACTCGGAGGCGCGCCACAGTCAGGGCTGAAAGGTAAGGGTGTCCCCGCGAAGACCGGCTCAATGCGATCTTCACGTTTTGAAGCTGTCGAATGCAATATAGAACGGTTGGGTAAAATAACGAACGAAAGTGAGCATTCGGTTTGGACACATCTCAAAAAGTTGGTCGGTCGGTTTATGGGGCGCAGCGAGTGAGTCAGTCGGGAATCGGTACAGCACAAGCCTGCCAGGTTGGCTCAAACGCGCACAGGTGGAAGGGCGCGACAAGTTCGGTGGTGTTGGCGGTTGGTTTGGAAATCGGGGCGGGGGAGACACACGTGGATGGGAGGGATGGGAACGGGGGGAGGAGGGTAGGAAACTGGGGAAGATCTTCTACGGCACGCTACGCGACTCCAGGCGCGGGGGTAGCGGGCTGCGGAGCGCAGTCGGGTGGAGCGGTGAATGGATTTGTGGAAGCTTCTCGATTACCGTGTGGTAAACGTGGAAGAAAATCGTAGAAAACTCGTACGATATAGTAAAAAACTTATGAGCGGTGCAAAATAGCCCTTGTTCGCTTGTACGCGGTAAAGGAGGCGGCAATGAGTTGAGCGGAACACATAAAGTGGGAGATTTTTACCTTACAAGGGTTATGGAACTCATGCACCATTGGTTCGGTTCACATCGGTTGATGTCGGTCCGTCCCAGCATCCACACACCACTCACAACAATACCACGTGGGTTCATCAGCTCGCCACTTTTCATCACGAGGCATTTCCAACACACGTCAGCACAGCTGAATCCCTCTGGCTACAGCTGAGGCGGCTGAGCTGACGTGTCGCCTCCGGTTGTTCTCTCTGTCCGCATTTTTGAAACCCACCTCACAGTCGCCACCGTCCCCCCGCCATGTCCGCTACCTGCTCCCGCCTCGCGCGGCTACTCTCCCGCTCCGCATTCGCGATTCCTCGAAGCGCGCCCTACAGCAACCATGGCTCGCTCAGCCATTTTACCGCGTCTCGGCCCCTGTCGACTACTATTTTCAACCACTCCAAATGTACCGCGCGCCCGGCACCCAATTTCGCGGAATCTTCGCGCCTGGGAGCGTGGAACCCCCTGGTGGGGCGCGGCCTCGGGCCGCAAAGCGCGCCGAGTCTCGCCTCCGCAAATCCGCGCAGGGGGTCGTCGGGCGTGGTGGTAGCGCGCGCCAGCTCCGCGGACGAGAATGCAGCGCGGGAGCAGGCGGAGAATGAGGCGGGAGTTGCGGAGAAAAGAGTGCGGCTCGGGTTTATAGGCAAGCACCAACGCGTTTTGTAACCTGATTGGAGTCGCTTTTTTTTTTCTTTCTTTACCCCAACGTGTGTTGTGGTTTCCTTCCCAGTCCCCATTCGCTTTCTTCCCAGTTTCTCCTCTCCCCTCGCCTCCCCTCCCATCCCCTCCCTTCCCCTCCCCTTCCCCCTCCCCCTCATCCCCTACTCCAGGGGCGGGGCAGATGGCGGAGGCGCTGGCGCGGGGACTGAGCTCGGTGGGCGTGGTGGACTATGCTGACATGGCAGCTGCTGACGTCAACAGTGACAGGCTGGCGGTGTTCCAGGGCATAGGCATCGACACCAAGGAGAATGCCAGGGAGGTGGCGGCCAGCAGTGACGTCATCTTCATTGCAGTCAAGCCGTTTGCCGTGCAGCCGGTTCTCGCTGACCTGGCGGCCTCGGGCGCGCTGACGGAGCGCCATCTCATCGTGTCGATCGCTGCGGGCGTGCCACTTGGCAAGATGCAGCAGTGGGCAGGGGAGGGCGTGCGGATCGTGCGAGTCATGCCAAATACCCCCTGCCTAGTCGGCGCCACTGCTGCTGGTGAGACGTGGTGCTGGTAACGTAGGGATTTTTTAGAATTCTCAAAAAAACATCGTGGTAACCCTACAGCATCGTGGTGCTGGTAACAACTAGCCATATGATGTACTTTCCTCCTCCACCTCCTCATCTTCCCCCTTCCACCATGTTTTGCTTCCGCGCCTTCCAGAACCACCTCCACTCTCCCCCCCTCTTGCCCCGTATCTCCCCCTGTGGGAGAGAGCGCAACAGAACAGAGGAGGACGGGGCGCTAATGAGTGCCATGTTTGTTTGGGCGCCTTCAGAACCGCCTACTCTCTTCCCACTTGTCCCCCCCTTGTTACCCCCTATCTCCCCCCTTGTTACCCCACCCAGCCATGAGTCTGGGGAAGAGCGCAACAGAGCAGGACGGGGCGCTGGTGAAGGCCATGTTTGTCTAGGCGCCTGCAGAACCACCTCCTTTCTTTCCCCTTGTCCCCCCATTCCCCCATTGCCCTTTGTGTTGCTTCCCCACCCAGCCATGAGTTTGGGGGAGAGCGCAACAGAGGAGGATGCGGAGCTAGTGAAGGCCATGTTCGGCGCCGTGGGGGAGGTCTATGAGGTGGAGGAGCGCCTGCTCGATGCCGTTACTGGGCTCAGGTGATTCCTACAGAGCCTCAGGTGGTTCCAACAGAGCTCAGGTGATTCGAACAGAGCTCAGGTGATTCTAACAGAGGCGCTGGTGAGGGCGATGTTTGGCACCGTGGGGGAGGTGTACGAGGTGGAGGAACGCCTGCTGGACGCTGTTAACGGGCTCAGGTGATTTCAACAGAGGCCAGGTAGGATATGTATGAGGTGGAGGAGCGCCTGCCGGACGCCGTTACTGGGCTCAGGTGATTCCAACAGAATCTCAGGTAAGTGTCCCTGCACCCCTGCTTGCCACTTCCCCGTTCTTTTCTTCTCCCCTTATCCCCTTTTCCACGTTGCAGTGGCAGCGGGCCAGCATACGTGTTTGTGGCGATAGAGGCTCTGGCGGATGCTGGTGGTGACAATGTGACATGCCCGCATCCCTACTTACTTACCACTTCCACCTTTCTCCTGTTGTCCCGACTGCAGTGGCAGCGGGCCAGCATATGTGTTTGTGGCCATAGAGGCGCTGGCCGATGGGGGTACAGCAGCAGGCCTTCCCCGCAAAGTGGCCCTCTCCCTCGCTGCTCAGACGGTGAGCGATGCTGTGGAATGGGGTGAGGTGAGGCGTGGTGGGGTGGGGTGAGGTGAGATGGTTGACGAGAGGCCAGGAGAGGGATTGCTGACGGTGGGGAACTGAAGCAGCTCACGATTCCACAGCACCGGCGGAAGCAAATGAATCCCTGCTGACAAACCATGGCTGATGTGTCTTTTTCGGCCTTTCTCCCTCTTCCCCTGGCAGGTGTATGGAGCAGCTAAGATGGTAATAGACACACAGAAGCACCCGGGCGTACTTAAAGACTCCGTCGCATCACCAGCAGGTATGCTCACGATAACCACTCTGCTGCGCTGATTTTCTCCGCACATTGCCGTTTCTTCAGCCCACTCTTTTCCCCTCTGCCACACCCCCTTGCCTTTTGTGCACGCGCCAACTCAGCATCGTCACTCTGTGCCTGGTACTTTACCCCCGGCCTCCTTCCTTGCGTCGACTCAAATCTGAACTCGTGACAGAGAGAACTACCATGTTATGCATGCACCAAAAAGCGTGGCTTCGTGACTCCATACAAAAGTGTAGTTTCGAGACGTCTCACGAGAGGCGTCTCAAAGGTCTGCGGGGATAAACTACACTTTTATCATGTGCTACAAATGCAACGTTGATGGTACTTTTGAGAATTCTCAAGAGTACCATCAAAAGTCGACGGAGATAAACTACACTTTTGTCACGTGCTATGCATGCACCAGCTCACGCAGCTTTGTCACTCTGTGCCCACTCTTCCACCCTTCCACCTTCATCCCACCCTTCCACACCTCTCCACACCTCTCCGCACCTCTCCACACCTCTTCACCATGCAGTCACCACCATTGCCAGCCTGCATGAGCTTGAGAAGGGCGGGTGGCGAGAGCACCCACTCGTGCCTCACTCAACGTGTTGACTTTTGAGTCGACTCAAAAGTCAACGTTCACACTTGAATTGAGTCACGATAATTACTCTCTCCTCGTTCCCCCTTTTCCTTCCCTCTCCCCCTCCCATCCGCCCACGATTATGATGCAGGCACCACCATTGCTGGTTTGCACGAGCTAGAGAGGGGCGGGTTCCGATCGCTGCTCATGAATGCCGTGGTGGCAGCAGCCAATCGCAGCAAAGAGCTGTCCAACTGACGGCCAGCCTCGCGCGTCAGATCACAGGGGGGGTTCAGTTGTCGCTGCTCGTGAATGCGGTTTTCGTATTCTGTGAAAAACGCCTGCAGATTCGGTACCGCTGCTCGTGAATGCACCGGTTGCAGCCGCGGACCGCAGTGAAGAGCTGTCCAACTAACTGACATATCTTCTGCACATTCACTAGCAATTATCTCCTCATCCAGCTCCCTCCTACCATTGCAGGGAGAGGGGAGGGAGGGGAGAGGAAGTTGGGATGTATTTCTCTATCCGGGCAGTGGTGATTGCCTTGCTCCTGTCAGTACCCTACATGCCCCAAGGGATGTTCAAATGAAGGTTGTGTGCTCTACATATCATGTATACAAGGGAACATCATGTTCCCGTTATTCCCAGGAAGAAACTTACCGGTACTGTACCGGTATTCAGTACGGTATAGTGCAAGGAAATCATTGTCGAGGACATGCTCTGAAGAAATTGAATTCGTGCAAAGAGATAATTCTTACCGTGGAACGCTTTGACGATTTAACCTACCTCACCATTCCATACATCATCCAATAAATTAGAAGAATGACACAGAAGGTAGTTGTCCCTGCTAACTTGTCCCTACTTCTACCCTTCCTGTGCTCCTACCCTCCTAGGTTATATCCCATCCCTACAGGGCTCAGACAGCCTTCAAATTGCTGAAGGCAGCGGCCTATCTTGCCCTTACACCAGCTAGCACTAGCTTCGATTAGCTTGCTTGCTTGGTTGGCGGCTCCTGCCGCTCCAGCCCCTCTCCCAGCTGCTTTGCAGGAGCAGCAGCAGGAGCAGGAACACTTCCTAAGGCAATTTCTGGTTCAGGAGGAGCCTCCAAGGTAGAGCAGCAGGCGTTGCCGTTAATGGTATTGGTTGGTGGCTTAGGTGGAGCGTAGTCGGGGGAAGGACTCGCGAACGCTGCTCAGCTCACACACGAGCTGGCTTTTGAGGCGCCTCAAAACTCCATACTAGAGTCTTGGTCGGTAGGTTCAGGTGGAGCGTAGTCGGGGGAACGACTCTCGAACGCTGCTCACACACGAGCTGGCAGCAGCGAGGAACTGCTGAGCAGTCGCAGTTGCAGCAGCAGTAGCAGCAGCGGTGGCAGCTGCAGGCGCTCCCCCGCAGCACCCACCCTCCGAGCCAGCCTCGGCCCGAACCTTCTCTCCAGGCTCATCGCCGCACAGCACATCGATAACACAGTCTTTAGCAACCACTCCCACCTTCTCCTCCTCCGCTCCCTTCACCACTGTCACCGGCCGGTGCTTAGCTAAAAGCCACGCCATTTCCTTCTCGTCAATATGCGTAAACAGCCCGTCCGCAGGAAAAACACTTCTCGAAAACGCTGTCACAAGCCGCTCATTAAACTTATGATGCAGATACACCACGGGAAGATCATTCGGGTCGAAACGGTTCTTCGATCTCCCTCGCCACTTCGTTGAGAAGGTAGAAGGAGAAGACGGAGAGGAGGGTGATGGCGGAGGCTAGGAGCGGGTCTGCGAGCCAGTCGGCCATGAGCAGCGGGATGACGAGGGCGTTGATGTGCAGGAGGAGCGCCACGCACTGCGCGAAGGGGAAGGGGAAGGGCGTGTTCACTATCTTGAGCGCGTTCTCGTACCCCAGCATACCGTCTGGCGGGAAGGAGGAAAAAGGGGAGGGATGGAGGATGGGTTGGGAAGGATGGGAGGTAAGGATGGGGAGGTGCAAGAAACGATGGGTCCTCGCATGCTTCTGCAGAATACTCTGAAGACTTTAGGAGCCTTCTATCAGGTATGCAATTTTTTGTTTTAATATATATATACATATATACTACCATGCCCTCACCTGACAACACTTGGTATATTCTGGACACGATAGGGGCGTCCTGAGAGATGCCCCCCGCCATGCGGCGAGCCACGAGCGCGCGGTGCAGCCAGCACATCACCAGGTACACACGGTCGCGGGAAGGTTCCAGGATGCTGCACTCCGTGGGGTTCACTCCCCCCAGCACTGCCAGCGGCAGCGCCCGCCAGTACTTCTCGAGGTGGGGGCGGTGGGCCCTTAGGAACACAAGGGACCTGCAGGTGGGAGAGAGGAGGCGGTGGGAGGGGGGGATAGGATGTTAGGAGTGCTCCGTCAGGGAAGAGCCGCACTGCCAGCGGCAGCGCCCGCCAGTACTTCTCGAGGTGGGGGCGGTGGGCCCTTAAGAACACAAGGGACCTGCGATGGCATGGGTAGAAGGCACGGGTGGGAGAACAGATGGATGGGAAGCATGGGTTGGAGAAGGGATGGGAGCTTAGAAGTGAAACCCAACCCAAACCAACCAAACCCAGCCCAACCCAAACAGGACCAACGTATGACAGCGCAGCACTCACTTGTTCCCGCGCACTCGGTTCCACTCCTCCACCTGATCAGCTTCCACTGGCGGCTCTGGTGGGATGTCCATGAAGCGACCTGCGCGGGAGAGAGAGGAGGAAGAGAGGTATTCAGATTATGAAGGCGCCTTAAGTACTAAACTTAACGGGGAAGGGGAAGTCGAAGCAAGAGACACGGCAAACGCGTGGAGCAGCGGTAAAAGGCAGGGAGTCGAAGCACGCACCATAAGTTAGGTTGCTCAGGTAGGAGTCTCCTCTTAGTCTCTGCTCCACACAGATATCAGACAGGGCGATGGGAAGGGGTGGGAGGCGGATGCAGGGGGGGAGAATAAGTCGCACGGACAAGAGAGAGGCGGTGACAGAGAGCAAAGGAAGGATTGCAGTGAGCAGGGGTTTAGCGCGGGCAGAAGTTTTAGCGAGTGTGTGCATGGATTGCCATGTTGCTGATTCACAAGCCATGCTGCATACCTGCAGCGCGAGCGCGTGCATGAGGCTCATGGTGTGTACAAACTCGGAGCGGAATCGAATCCCGCCCGGCACGGGCTCCTTGGCTCCCTCGTCGAACGATATCACCTGCGGAAGGAGCACAGGGGAATGGAGGACGAGCGAAGCTGATTGGCCAAATGACGAAACGGTTGACGGCTCGTAGAGAGCGAATGTAATAACTAAATGAAATTGCGGATTGCAACACCGATGGCTCACCTGGATTGCTGCGTCGCCCCATTTCGAGCTGCACAGCACAAGAGAGAGAGATAGGGAGAGGGAGAAAAACAGGGAGTTTTGAAACGGAAGCGAATAGCGATTATTGAAACAAATTAAAAGGAACAAAAATAAAGAGAACGAAACGGAATGAAGGCTATGAAATGGCGAGGAAGGAAGGATTGCGGGAAGGACGAGACGACGGACGGACCTCATTTGAGCGAGCATTGTTCGCCCCTCCCAGTATCTCTGCGACAAACAGACGCCACGGGATAATAAAAAATAACACGGTCGAGAAGAAGAATTGGAGTAAAGAGCATTGAAAAGGCAAGCCAAAACAAATGAGTACACGAAGGCGCGGAAAGCCAGCGACTGTTATTAATAATTCTCAACACGGCCGTGGCTGTCTCGAAATCCGTCTCGACTTCTGTTGAGCAAATCGATCCTCACTCGGCCAATTTATCACATTCCGCAGAGTCCGTCGTATTGTTTGGCGCGCGATTTCGTCGAGCCGTCTTCGGGTGAGCAGGCTTACCGCGTAGCTGAGATTGGTGCGGAAGATGAGGATGAAGGCGACGACGCCGCTGAAGACGGCATCTGCGGTGAAGCACGCAGCGCGCACGAGGGACGCACGCGGGACGCGCGCACGAGGGACGAGACGAGGGACGCAAGGGAGAAGAAGAGTCAGGTAGACCGCGGCTATTGGGTAAAAGACGGGGAAAAATGCATGATTACAGCAGCGAGGCCGTTCAATACGCACTAAGAAATTACTGGGAATTTTGCAGTGCTTTCTCAGAATTCTCAGAGAGGGTGAGAGGAAGAAGGGAGAACAGGGAGTGAGGCTCACAGGGGTATGGGTGGAGGAAGAGGTGTTGGGATTTATCGACGAATATGAACGCGGAGAGAAGTCCGGCGAGAATGGCGCTAGGCAGGGCGAGCAGCGTCGCTCGCGGCCATTGCGAGCCGTAGAATCTCAACAGCAGATTGAACGCTCCGAATCTCTTCTCGTAGTTTATCATGGCTGCGAGTCAGTAGAGGACTAATAAAAGAGATGAGTGCGAGAGAACAGAGCTAATATGAGATGTGAATTTAGCAGATGACCAAACGTCGAAACAAGGCTAACAGCAGAGTCGAGAGTTCGTCGCCTAATAGATAGATATTTTGTCAGCGCAGGACCTTCTAACAAGCACATTTTTTTGGGTTGCGTAGCAACCCCTTTACATTTGGTAGCACCTTTTTCGGTCGACTCGAATGAACAGTGCACATTTTTGTCATTTTCCCAACGTCTGAAGCACTCGCTTTAACGTTTTGAGAACGTGTGCTTCAAATGTGTGGAGATGACAACACTGCTACACAAGAGTCTCCCAAAAAAGGTGAAACAAAAATGAGACCAATTATTCCATAATCGTCGATAAATACGGCGAATGGAAACAATTGGTAGCCTCTCCATATTTTACGGTACATCACACAATTGACGATACAACAAATTCGACGTGGATGCAAATTGCGGTACCGTATTTGCATCTACCGTATCGAACATGTGCAAAAACGACAACACTCAACAACAGCAAATGTCATAAAGTGAATGGCAAAATGCATCAGTGCTACAATAGCGATGGATCCGGTAAGCTAAGGCGAGCAACGCTGCCCCAACAACGATCCCCACCTCAATTGCAGACCTGACACACTTTAACATGACACCTTACAACAAACACGAACAAGCACATGCGACATTGTACTGGTACAACGACGACAACGCATAACAATAATGAGTGTCTTGGGGAGAATGCTAGAATGCATCGATGATGCAACAAAGGTTGGTCTGGCACGCTAAGGCTATTGCCCCATCGGCGATCACAACCTGAGTTGCATACACGAGGCACTTCAGCACACGCCTTGAGACAGACACAAAACGATACAAACAACAAGACTGCACATACATATCTCACACAGGCTCACACACTCACATACACACTGACACGCACGCAAACAAGCACAGATACATACGGATAGTCAACACCCAACCATCATGAAATTCAGCTATTAATAAATAATCACTAGCCAATCACCCCTTACCCTCCCTACACCCCTGCCTCCCCCCCTCCCTCCCTCCCTCCCTCCCTACCTCCCTCCCTCCCTCCCTCCCTCCATCCCTCCCTCCCTCATCTCCCTCCCACCCCCTCCTTCATCTCCCTTCTCTGCCAAACAAAATCAACGAATGCAGCTCACGCGCCCTGCACAGAGCAAAAACAGATAATGCAAAGCACGCGCCCTGCACAAGAAAAAGGCAAAAACAAAGAATGTTCACACTGTACAAACAAATCAATAAAACGCATAATGCTTCGAGGAGGCCAAGCAGGAAACTTGACAAGCAGTGGAAAGTTTGACAACTCACAGAGGTAAAATGGTGTGGCACCACAGTACTACGCCAACATGATGCAATACATTGCAGCCACCCTCACGTTCAACTTCACAATCACGCTCGCACTCACTCAATCTTGCACCCACTCACACACAGACACACAAAGACTCTCAACTTTCTTAGACACTCTCTCAGAAACACACAAACCTACACGCTCTCTCACGCGCTCTCTCACACGCACTCTCTCGCACACTCTCACGCGCACTTTCACGCGCACTCTCACGCGCTCTCTCACGCGCTCCCTCACGCGCTCTCTCACGCGCACTCTCACGCGCACTCTCGCGGGCACTCCCACGCGCACTCTCACGCGCACTCTCACGCCCTCTCTCACTCGCTCCCTCATGCGTCACTCGCGCGCTCTATCACGCGCTCACTCACGCGCACTCTCACGCGCTCACTCACGCGCACTCTCACGCGCCCTCTCACGCGCTCTCTCACGCGCTTCCTCACCTGCCCTCTCACGCGGCCTCTCACGCGCACTCTCACGCGCACACGCACTGTCACGCGCTCTCTCACGGGCACTCTCACGCGCACTCTCACGCGCTCTCTCACACACTATCTCACGCGCGCACTCTTACACACTCTCTCACACGCACTCTCACGCGCACTCTCTCGCGCACTCTCACGCGCTCCCTCACGCGCTCGCTCACGCGCGCTCTCACGCGCACACTCACGCGCTCTCTCACGTGCACTCTCACGCGCGCACTCTCCCGCGCACTCTCACGCGCTCTCTCACGCGCACTCTCACACGCTCCCTCACGCGCACTCTCACACGCTCCCTCACGCGCGCTCTCACACGCGCTCTCACGCACTCTCACGCGCTCTATCACGAGCGCACTCTCACGCGAACTCTCACGCTCTCCCTCACGCGCTCTCTCACGCGCGCACTCTCACGCTCTCCCTCACGCGCTCTATCACGAGCGCACCCTCACGCGAACTCTCACGGGCACTCTCACGCTCTCCCTCACGCGCTCTCTCACGCGCGCACTCTCACGCGAACTCTCACGCGCACTCTCACGCTCTCCCTCACGCGCTCTCTCACGCGCGCACTCTCACGCGAACTCTCACGCGCACTCTCACGCTCTCCCTCACGCGCGCACTCTCACGCGAACTCTCACGCGCACTCTCACGCTCTCCCTCACGCGCTCTCTCACGCGCGCACTCTCACGCGAACTCTCACGCGCACTCTCACGCTCTCCCTCACGCGCTCTCTCACGTGCGCACTCTCACGCGCACTAACACGCGCACTTTCACGCGCTCTCTCACATGGCCTCTCACGCGGCCTCCTGGCGCCAGAGCGCTAATCGCCAGCGCGTAAGGCGCCAAGGCGCAAGGCACCAGCGCACTAGGCGTCAGCGCGCAAGGCGCCAGCGCGCAAGGCGCCAGCGCGCTAGGCGCCAGCACGTTAGGCGCCAGCGCGCAAGGCGCCAGCGCGGTAGGCGCCAGCGCGCTAGGCGCCAGCGCGCTAGGCGCCAGCGCGTTAGGCGCCAGCGCGCAAGGCGCCAGCCCGCACGGCGCCAGCGCGCACGGCGCCAGCGCGCACGGCGCCAGCGCGCATAGACGCCAGCGCGCAAGGCGCCAGCGCATTAGGCGCCAGCGCGTTAGGCGCCAGCGCGCAAGGCGCCAGCCCGCACGGCGCCAGCGCGCACGGCGCCAACGCGCACGGCGCCAGCACGCAAGGCGCCAGCGCGCAAGGCGCCAGCGCGCAAGGCGCCAGCGCGCACGGCGCCAGCGCGCAAGGCGCCAGCGCGCACGGCGCCAGCGCGCAAGGCGCCAGCGCGCAAACAGCCAGTGCGCTAAGCGCCAGCGCGTTGGGCGCCAGCGCTAAGCGCCAGCGAGTTAGGCGCCAACGCTATACGCGCCAGCGTGCTAGTTCCCGTGCAAACTCTCTCACTCGCTCTCCCTCTGTCCCTCTCTTCAAATGGTATTGCAATGCAAAAGGAGATCTCGACAGGCAGAGAACTTGAGAATGTACGAAAGTAAATTATTTTTTCAGAGAGGAGGAGGAGAAATGGACCGGGAAAGGACAACGCACCTGAGAATCATGGTGCCTCAGAGGTCGATTCGCGCTCGCCCACCAGCTCGCGCTCCTGCAGCTACTGTCAGCGGCGACGGCGGGATGAGCGGGGGAGGCGACGGTGGGATGGGAGGGGGGGGGGGGGCGACGGCAGGCTAAGAGGGATACGACAGCAGGCTATGAGGGAGGCGATGGCGGGAAAGGAGGGAGAAGGTGGGGTGGCAGAAGGAGGCAACGGCGGTGTGAGAGGGAGAGGCGATGGCGAGAAAACAAACAGGATATCGTGGTGGTTGGCTAGATGGGTGGTGGTTGTGAGAGGCAAGGAGCAAAAGGTGCAACAAATTGAAGCTGCTTGGAGCCGAACAAAACCTGGAAGTTGGGGCAACTGCCAAAAAAGTCATCGGTAAAAGAGGCATGAAAAATTTCTATATTGAGTCTAAAACAAACACTAGGGATCTAATTGCAAACCAGTCAAAATTTGGGCACCGGGTAAAAAAAAACAAAAATCATACATCTAGATTTGGAAGCTAGTGTCACGTGAAATAGACGTATACTCCCTACCCCCTATTTCGAAGGTACCCTGTACGTTTTCTGGCTCGATGTGACGGACACCCAAAGATTGACGAGGGTAGTTATCGAGTCTAGCACTTAATTTTCCGAGTGAGAAGTAGGGGTCGATGGCTGCCCTTGGAACACGAGAAGGTTGCGAGACCCCCTCCTCCGATAGTCTACAATCGTTGCTTGCTACCCTACTTAAACGTTTAACTGAGAGTATTTACCCCAGGGTGTGCGCTTAAGGGGTGTGAAATTATCGAGAATAGGGTGTAATGACGTCACATATCCATCCAAGCATTTGAGTCAACTTCAAAACAGCTCATTGTAAGAACCTGATTCAGCAATACATGATAAGTTACTTTCAAGCATAAGTGCTGGAATAATATACATTGTTTCTGAATCGTTACATATTGCTAATTCGGAAAAAACAAACAAGAAAATTAACAGAACTTGATCCCATAATACTAGCAAACAGTAATTTTGTATTGATAAGTAGGAAGTAATTCGGTGTATCCATTGGAATAAATACTACGTATTACATGTATCTCGTCAAAATATGAAAACTAAAAGCGTACGTAACTACGCAACCCTTCCGACGTTCACGTCGAATCTTGTTATAGATCCTTCTAGGCAATCCCTAGGGTTGGTTTGTTTGCTGGTTGATTGGCTGGTTATTTGGTTGGTGTGTGTTGGTTGGTGGTCCAGGCAACAAATCGGCTGATGAGCGTTGGGTGCATTCACTGTATTTTGGTGGCTGCCCGAGCTCCCCGCGTCTGCTCTCTGATAACACTGGTGGTGAGGTCTGGTCTGTTGTGGTCTCCCCTGGCCAGTCAATTGACTGCCCGATCTCTTCTGAGCCTGTCACGTCCCCGAATCCCGAACCATCTTCAGCATGAATGTATCTTCAAGTCTCTCAATTCAACCTGCCCCTCGCAAACGGGCATCGCGAAATTCCTGAACATGAGGGAAGTCCCAGTCGGTTTGCTGACGGGAAGTGTTCGCCTGTAATGTTTTGCTATGCCCGTACCGAACGAAACCCACATCCGAACAGCCATCCATGGCAGGTAATCGCGTCGCGCCGCTACGTGGCGGCTGACGATAATTTTCGGCGCAGATTTCCGCAGCTGTGTGGATGACTGTGACAGAGAGCCATCAACCATCGCTCCAAGGCGGAATTTCAGGGTGACGTGGGGCTGACACGCGGGCGGGACGCGCTGGAACTGAGGAGTCACCGATCTCCAATCGTAGAGGAGATTCACTCGCTTGATGCAGCGAAATTGTTGGATGGTTTGGATCTCAAGGGGAACTTGCACTGTAGTGCAAGGTCCAGCCCAGTTCTTGAAAGCCTGGAAAGTTCCTCCAACCGAATGATGTCGCTCAGCCAGTCGTTCGGAGCCGGAACATCGCACGCGACGAGGTGCTCTATCTGCTGCGACGAAGGCTGCCTACCGAACGATTTTCCGACGTCTCTGTTTTGTCGCAGTTGCAGTGGGACGGCAAGGTGTGACAGTTGCTTCGTTTAGGGGTGTCACACGCTTACGCAACAAAAGTCATAACCTTATGGTCGTAACTGATTGTTTAAATTCTGCATCTAGGTTGAGAATGTCAAACTGTGAAGAAAGCACCACTTCCAACCAGGTTTATGTGCTCCATTGGATCGTGTAACACCAGGTACCTAGGCAGAGTCAATTTACTACACATACCACAAGCATGGGGTACAAGGGCTGCTGCCTCAATACCAACATCCAGTACATACCGACAGAGCGTCCAAACATTTGCCGAGTTTGCTAGCACCAACTGTTGGTGCATGGCATGTCAATCAATACTCACAAGGCGTGTCAATCCTCACAAAATACTGGATTTCAAGCCTTGATCCCACATACTTCAGCTGGAGCTTTTCTCAGGCTGCACCAGTGCCACCAGCACCATCTGACCCTGGTGCAGCAGGAGATCCCCCTGCCAATCCAAATCAACAAACAAGCACATCCCCACACTGCCTTCAGGACACGGAAACTACTACTACCAAATTGCGAAAACCACAAATACGGGGAACTAATCAAAGGGTGTAGGTGATAGGCATATTACCTGCAGCCCCCCTGCCTCTCCCACGGCCACGTGGGCTGGACGTTCCCCTTCCACCTGTCTGCACCAGGCTGATCACTCGTGTGCCCCGGCCCTGCACAAGGGGTGCATGCATAGTGCATGTGAGGGGATGTGGCAGGTGGAGAGTGGAAAGCACAATGTGACAATGTGACAAGGACCTCTCAGGGCTGATCACTCGTGTGCCCCGGCCCTGCACAAGGGGTGCATGCACAGTGCGTGTCAATGAATGCGGGGGTATGGAGAGTGGCAGGGTGAAAGGAAGGGGGTAGCACAGGTTTTATGTGTGAGTGAGTGAGTGTGTGTGTGTGTGTGTGTGTGTGTATGTCGCGCGTGTGTGTATGTGTGTGCACACAAAAGCCGTTCGGAAAATCAAAGAGCAAAGAGCGGCACAACAAGCATCAGAACACAGCAGAGCTGCTCCTGATCAAACAGGCTCCATTCAGACACACCAAAACGAGCATAGTTTTGAGACGTCTCAAAACCACAGCAGAGCTGCTCCTGATCAAACAGGCTCCATTCAGACACACCAAAACGACCATCAACAAATCCACAAGTCTACATGGGTCACTCACCCTTGCACCTCGGCCGCGGCGGGGAGACGTGGCGGCACCGAATCGGGCCTGCCTGGCGGCAGCGCGCTGAGCCGCCTCCCCTTCCCCTGCACCACCCCCCTCTCCCGCCTCCCCCCGCCCCCCACCTCGCCCTGCCGTTGCTGCCGCCACTGCTGCCGCCCTGCCTCTCAGCCCTGCTGTGGACCTCCTGGGTCGGGAAGCCATTCCTGCTGCTGCTGCTGTCTCTGCTGTGCCTGTTCCCGCTGTAGCTGCTGCTCCTGCTGTGCTCACTCCTGTACCCGGCTGCTGTGTTGCTGCTCCCTCCACTGCCCCAGCAGTACCGGCAGTACCAGTAGTACCAGCAGCACCAGCGGCAGCATCAGCGGTAGAATCAGCAGTGGCCGTTGTAGCAGCTCCAGTGGAAGCGGGAGCAGCAGGCACTGCAGCAGAGGCATCCCCAGGCGTGTCTTCAGGAGTCCTTTCAGGTGCTGGCTCCCCTGGACCTGCCTCTGCTACTGCTACCCCAGCACCTCCAGCAGCAGCACCACCAGACTCCCCCCCTGCTCCACCCTCTTCCTGCTGCTGCAGCCCCTCCCCTGCTTTACCCTCCCCCTCCTCCCCGCCCTCCACTTCCATCCCCCCCTCCTCCCCCACATCCGCCATCTCATGCTCATCTCCCCCTCCCCCTTCCCCTCCCCCTTCCCCTCCCCCCCTCCCCTCCCCCTTCCCCTCCCCCCCTCCCCTCCCCCTTCCCCTCCCGCCTCCCCTTCCCCCTCCCCCTCAAACATACCCCCTTCCCCGTCATACTCCTCATGCCCGCCCTCCTCCCCCTCCCCGTCCGCCCCCTCCCCCATGGCCTCATCTCCCTCCTCCCCATCCCCCATTGCATGCTCCCCCCCATCCTCTTCCTCCCCCAAACCCTCCACATGAATCTCAGAAACTTCTGCTCCCGCCCCTGCCTCTGCTCCCCCGCCTGTCTCTGCTGCCCCGCCTGTATCCCCTGCGCCCACCCCTTCCCCCTCCCTTTCCACTTCTGCCCCTGTGCTATCACCACCTGCCCCTTCCCCTGGCGCCCCTTCTCCGTTTGGCCCTTCCCCAGGCAAGAGGGCAGTAGACTCACCAGCCCCTGTGGGGGTAAGTGGAGGAGTGGGGGTGGGTGAGCGGGGAGGAGTGGCAGGAACAGCAGCAGCATTGGCAGCAGCAGCATCATCACTTGCACCACCAGCGGCATCATCAGCACCAGTGGCACCTTCACCTCCTGCTCCTTCCCCTTCTGTTGCTGCTGCTACTTCGTGCCCCTGCATGTCCCCCACCCCTGCTGCTCCCACTGGCGCACCCTCCCCCTCCACACCTGCACCCTGGTCTCCCTGCGTTTCCTTCTCCTCTGCCCCTTCTCCTGCCGCTCCCCCACCTGCCTCGCCCGCCAACCCCACTTCACCGCTTTGCACCGCTTCACTCACCCCTGCGGCCCCTTGCTCTTGTGCCCTACCTTCAACCTCCATCCCACCTGCAGCAGGTGCGGCCCGAACCTCGCCCGCAGGTTCGGAAGGCACAGGTGCAACAGGGGCTGGACCTGCGGGTGCTGGAACGGCAGCAGAAGGTGTAGGGGCAACAGCAGCAGGAGCAGGAGCAGCAGCAGTAGCAGTATCAGCTCCAGGTGTTGCTGCTGCTACCACTGGGCCACCAGTTGTAGCTGTCGCACTCTGTGTCACAGACGCACCCCCTCCGCTTCCTCCTGCTCCCCCTGCCGCGCCCCCGAACGAGGGTCGCATGATCCGCCTGTGCTTCACTGCACGCCCTCCCCGCCCCGCACCTGCCCTGCCTCCCCCTCGCCCAGCTACACCAGCAGCAGACCCCGCTGCCCCTTCTCCCCCATCCCCACCGTCGTCACCTTCCTCCCCACCGTCCCCCTCTCCTTCTGCCTCCGCAGTTGCTGGGGCAACAGCAGAAGGAGCGACCGCACCTGCAACAGGAGCGATTGCAGCAGCAGGAGTAACAGCAGCAGCAGCAGCAGCAGGAGGAACAGCAGCTGCTGTAACTGCTGTTGTCGGTGCAGCAGCATCAGCAGCAGGACCAGAAGCAGCGGGAGCAGCGGCGGAAGCAGTGGCAGCAGCAGGGGCAGCAGCCTTAGCACGAGCCAACGATTGCATGAGCATGGCCCGCAGCTTGCTGGGATCACTGGCAAAGCGGGGTGCAGCGGCAGCAGCAGCAGTGGTAGCAGCCGCCGTACCAGCAGCACGGAGAGGAGATGTAGGGGCACCAGCAGCAGCAGGAGGAGCAGGAGCAGCAGCAGTAGTGGCAACAGCAGCAGCAGTGGTAGGAGCAGCAGCAGTGTCAGGGGTGGTGTCCAAAGGCCTAGCTTTCTTCTCAGCCAGACCCTTCACCTCCCCTGCTTGTGCGCCCTCCTCTTTCATAACTGCATCCTCCTCCTCCTCCCTCTTCCTCTTGCCCTTCTCCTCTGCCCCACTCACCCCACCAGCTGCCCCCTCCACCTCCATTGCTCCTGCAACCTTCGTCTTAGAAACACCTGCGGCGGCCACGGGAATGCCTGCATCACCAGCGGCAGCAGGGACAGCAGGGACTGGAGAAGCGGCAGCAGGAGCAGCAGAGGGCGCAACTGAGACCGCAGCGGCAGGAAGAACCGCAACAGGAGCAGCAGGCCCTGCAGGAGCAGTGGAAGGAGCAACAGGAGGAGCAGCAGCAACAGGAGGAGCAACAGCGGCAGGCACAGCAGCAGCAGCAGGAGCAGCAGCAGCAGGAGCAGCAGCAGCAGCAGGAGCAGCAGCAGCAGGAGCAGCAGCAGCAGGAGCAACGACACCACCAGCCTCTGCGGTTTTCTGCATGGCTCCAAAGACAGCGTCATACTCCTGCGATGCTGCCCTCAGCTCTGATACCACTGCCGGCTCCTCAAACGCCCCCTCCTTGCCCTGGGCGGAGAGAGGGGTGCGAGTTGGAAGTAAAACGAGTGTGCGTGTGTGTGTGTACTGGCACGTGACTGTAAGGCAAGAAAGAGACCAAAAAAGCAAGGGCTGAGAGCACGTGAGTGGTAAACGCTCTCTTAGACGACTCAAGAGTCGCCAATGAAATCAATAAACGAAAAGGGAGAGAGTGCGTGGAGGGAAGAAAAAGGAGGAGGAAAACGAAGGGGAAGAGAAGAGAGGGACTGAGAGGGGCGGTCGAGGGGAGACGGGGCACACGTATGGTACCTGGCGTTGCTGCTTGATCCAATCTTCCACTGCCACCACCCTCACAGAGATGGTCTCGTAACTCTGCACACATACATTGCAACAGGGGGAGAGGAGGGAGGTGTGAGGGGGCGAGAAAGACGGCACTTGTGGCAGCTGGTACTGCTGCTTGATCCAGTCTCTTCCACTGCCATCTCAGGTAGGCATGTGTCAGGTAACCCCTTAAAGCCTGAGTGTGCGAACTTTGGCTTGTGATTCACACCCACCCACTCACTACCCAACCCACCCATCCACCCTGCCCTCTCCTCCCAGCAGCACCTCCTTGGCGTGCTGAAACGAGTCAGCATTGCTCTTGAGGTTCTCGGTCCCACCAAGCTCCATCCCACCTCACCCGCTACCCACCATCCCACTCAGCCCCACCCAGCCCCACCACCCCAAAACCAACCCCGCCCTGTCTCTGCTCCCAATCGCACCTGCTTGGTGCGCCGAATTGAGTCCGCAATGCTCTTGAGGTTCTTCTTGGTTCCACCGGGTTCCGTTCCAAAAAACACAACTCCATCCAACCCCACCCGATCCCACATAGCGCCCCCAACCCCAACCCCAACCCCACCCAAACCCACCAATCCCAACCATCACTGATCCCATGCCCACCTCCTTGGCGCGCTGAAACGAGTCGACGATGCTCTTGAGGTTCTTGGTGCGCCTCTCCTTCTCTGCTGCCAGCTGCCTCTGCAGCAACTGCACCACCCCCCGGGGAGAACGCCCACAGGCCGAGAAGCAGCAAGCAAGAGATGAGAAGAAAGAAAAAAAGAAGGGGGGGGGTTTCAGGCTCTAGCTAATGTCTCATGTTTACCAATTATGTAACTCAAGCCTCCCCCACATGGCTTGGGGTTCTATCTGGATGGAGGCCTTACCTGAATCCGGGAGTTCAGAATCCCCTCCGCCACCGCCGCCTGCTGCTTCCCAGAAGCTGCCTCCGCAGCACTCTTCCCCTCCTCCGCCTTCCTGGCCGCTGCACCCGCTGCCAACTGCTCCTGAAGCCTCTTTTCCAGGTCAGCCACTCGTTTCTGAGATGCCTCAGAGGCTGTCTGGAGCTTCTTTTCGAGGTCGGCGATGCGCTTTTCGAGCTCTGCTGCTTTGGTTTTTGCTGCCTCTGCCTCCTTGCTCTGCTGCTCCTTGGCCTGCCGCAGCTCCTCCTTCTCCTTGCTCAGCTGCTCGCCGTTGCGCTGCCATGATGGGAAGGAAGAGAGGCGGACAGACGGACAAACACACAGGTCGGATGCAAACAGGAAAGTGCCTACGAGTATAAGCTCCTCCTTCTCCTTGCCCAGCCCAGCTGTTCGCATTTGCGTGGCCATGCCGAAAAGGATCAGACAGACACACAAACAGGCACAAACATCAGATGCTGAGCATTAAGCCTTGACCCTGCACCTAGACCCTGAACACACACTAAACCTGCTTAAAACCGCCCAGATTCTGGGAAGTCATGTCACGGTTTAGGATGACTCGCTTTCAAATGGGCAGGGTCACCATCTGAAAGCGAGTCATCCTAAATTCTGACATGACTTCCCAAACCCTGGCACTTTCAGAATATGGAGGCAAGAAAGGCGCACCTTGAATTTGATGGCTGTGTTCCTAAGCTTGGCAAACTCAGTCTTGTGCTTCGCCTGCCATGCACCCCCACCACATGCACGGTACAAACCGCACCCCACCCCACATACCACAGAACCGCACCCAACACAGCATACACCCCACCCAACCGCACCACACACCACACGCACATTCCACACGCACAAGCCTTAGAAATGAAGTAAAAATAGATACACAGAAACAATTAACATAACAGCAAAAACGAGAAGGAAACACAGAAAAGCGCTTACGAGTTTCATACGCATATCTGCATCTGCCCTCTTCCCCCTCTCCCCTCCCACTCTCAACTTCGCACGATTTTACCCACAACCCACACCTCCAGCTCTCCTCCCTCCCTTGCAAACCTTGTCTTCCTTTGCCACTTCCAGCTGCTTCTTCAGCTCCTCCCCTCCCACCGTCCGCTCCTTCTCCAACTTCCCATTCTCCGCTGAACTCTTTCCTCCCCCACCCCACTCACCTCGTTTTCTTTCGCCGCTTCCAGCTGCTTCTTCAGCTCCTCCCCTCCCACCATCCACTCCTTCTCCAACTTCCCATTCTCCGCTGAACTCTTTCCTTCCCCACCCCATTCACCTCGTTTTCTTTCGCCGCTTCCAGCTGCTTCCTCAGCTCCTCCCCTCCCACCGTCCACTCCTTCTCCAACTTCCCATTCTCCGCTGAACTCTTTCCTCCCCCACCCCACTCACCTCGTTTTCTTTCGCCGCTTCCAGCTGCTTCCTCAGCTCCTCCCCTCCTGCCGTCCGCTCCTTCTCCAGCTTCCCCTTCTCCGCCGCCACCCCCCCCTTTCCTTCCTGCACTCTCCTCAACCCACTCACCTCGTTTTCCTTCGCAGCCTCTAGCTGCTTCTTCAGCTCCTCCCCTCCTGCCGTCCGCTCCTTCTCCACCTTCTCCTTCTCCGCCAGTGCAGCCCGCTGCCTCTGCAATCTGCACCTTTGAGACCTCCCAAGACTCACCTCGTTCTCTTTCGCCGCTTCGAGCTGCTTCCTCAGCTCCTCCCCTCCCGCCGTTCGCTCAATATCCAGCTTCTCCTTCTCCACCACCGCTACCCCCACTTTCCTCCCTGCACTCCCCTCAGCCCACTCTCCTCCCCTACTCCACTCACCTCGTTTTCCTTCGCCGCTTCCAGCTGCTTCTTCAGCTCCTCCCCTCCTGCCGTCCGCTCCTTCTCCAGTTTCTCTTTCTCCTCCGCAAGTGCCGCCCGCTGCGCCTCCAGCTTCGCCAGCTCAGCAGCCGCCCGCTTCTTCTCCGCCTCCTTGTCCTTTTCTGCTGCCTCTGCTGCAGCCTTTGCTGCTGCCAGCGCACCCCTCGCCTCTGCGAGCTCCTGCTCCAGCTGCTCCGCTTGCTTCTGCTTGGAGAAAAGCAAGAAGTAAAACAGTCAGTCAGTCAGTCAGTCATGAGGAACACAGAACTCGAACCAAGAGGAATTGGGATACAGTGTGCTGACACGAGGAGAGAGACAGCTGTTACCTCCTCACAACCAACCTTACCCCCTCTCACCTCTTCTCCGGCAACTGCTGCCCCACCTCCTCGCACAAACCTGTGAGTTCCAGAACCCGAGCCCCAGAACCCCACCTTAAACCCTAGCATTGAACCCGAGCCCCAGAACCCCGCCTTAAACCCTAGCATTGAACCCGAGCCCCAGAACCCCACCTTAAACCCTAGCACTGAAC